AACTGTCTAGGATTTTTATTGAAAAAACATATCTGCATCATGTGAAATATACATGCAAGGAAAAAGTTAATATTGATGACCAGAAAGAATCCCGTCATGTTATTGCCGAAAGCAATGCTCTCGTAGCTGATATATTCGGAATTGGTTTTACTAAAGATTTCACAAATTCAATAATAGCAAAGTTTAAAAATGATGAAATTGGTAACACCTGCAACAATGATATTTTGATATTGAAATACGGAGCCATGCAGTACGAGAAGTATGGTGATACTCAAAACGAGTTAATAAGACAAACCATGAGGCAGCTAGCTCGTTTAGTTATATCCCTTAAGAAATTAACTAACAGTAGGTCGCAAACGCTTGGCGATTTTCTGGTTCCTGAGAAATTCGATGTGGTTGTTCAAGCAACTAAAGACATTAGTATGACCATGGCAGCTAGTAGTAACTGTGAACCAGAATTTCATACTCCGAGTTTAGCTTTAAAATTGGGTTATGCTCTTAAGAAATGTGTGGCTATTCAGAGAGGCAGTGCTTTAAGAGCAGGAAATATGGAAAAAAACAAGTCATTGATATCATTCCTTCAGCTGATGAAAATGGAATGGAGCATACGAATATCTTCCAATGCTATATCCACACTTTACCGAAGAAAATTGAATTCCACTCAACTTTTGCCAATTACGACCGATTTAGTGAAACTTAGTAATTATATCGATACAAACATGTTAAAGGCTAAACAAGAATTAATACAAGACTACACTAATAATTATAAGTGGACACGGCTTGCAACGTTAACTTTATCTAGAATAATATTGTTTAATAAACGCAGATCGGGTGAAGCAGCAAAAATGAAGCTAACTGATTATATTTCCCGACCAACTTGGGCAGAGCAAAATACGGACGAAATAAAAAATTCTCTCACAATAATCGAAAAAAAAAACTGGCAGAGTCATTGACAGTAGTGGAAATTGAAGGAAAACGTGGCAAAAAGGTCCCAGTAATCCTAACTCCAAATACGAAACAATGTATTGATATTTTGATTCAACAAAGAGTTACATGTGGTATTTCAAGTCAAAATGTATACATTTTCGCCAGATCTAATCCATCTAGTTCAAATCTTAGGGGGCATGATTGCTTGAAAAAAATATGTGAAGAAATTGATTTGCAGAATCCTTCAGCAATAACGGGAACAAAGTTGAGTTTTACAGAATGCACGAAAGTGCGATTGAACTCACCAAAGTAAGTCGATTGCTTATAGCTGTTGATAAAGGTGAAGTGAACAAGTTTGCTGGAAAATCTATTGACGAAATAGAAATTAAAGGTAATGTTTTGAATATTTAACTAGTATTAATTTGTTTGCTTCTATTATTTATTTTCTAGATCTGCCTACTTTAGAAGAAGATGAGGAAGAAGAACCAGAAGCTGAACCGGAAGGTGAAGCCGGAATTGATAATGATGAAAATGTTCAGACCATTCACAAAACAAAATGTAAGTGATTATTTGAACAATCTTAAGTCAAAACTAAAAAAAAACAGTCAACAATATATGGAATATTTCAATTGTAATCTGAGGTAGCTGGGGTGTTGTAAAAACATGCCAAATTAAAATGAGAATACTATTTTTTGCTAACAATATAATTTATTAATTTATTGTTTGTTAATTTTTTTAGTAACCAAAGCAAAAATGTCCAAAAATATTTCCAGAGGTCCAGTTCCATGGACGAATCAAGAAAAGGAAGCCGTCTGCAATTATTTTAAAATTAATATTAAGAAGGGAATTGTACCAAACAAAAATGAATGTGAGAAATGCATTGAGCTCCATCCCATATTAGTTGAAAGATGTTGGTCAAAGATTAAATTTTGTGTTAAAAATGAAATTACTAAACTTATGCGTATTAAATATAGCAAAAAGTAACTAATAATGCTGGATTTTTAGATGTTCTATCAGTTTTGTTTCAAGGTTTTACATTAATTTCTTGGTCCTAATAAGACTAGATTTATTTGAATTATTCACCAAGCATTTTTTATGTTTCAAGTTTTATTGAATGCATAATCGTTATTTTAATTTACATTTAATTTTACAATTTTTTAATTTAGATATTTCAGTTTATTTAAAGTATTGTTCAGAATTAACAACAATGATATTTTAATGCTAGTTTTGTAACTCATCAAATAATCAAAAAAATTAATGTAGATATTCTAGTATAAACTATATTGATACCGATACGTGCTTAATATAAAATGTTTCTAAATATATCTAGATTTTTTCTTAAACATGACAACACTGCTTTCCAAACACATTTAATTTTTTAATACTTGTGGCAACCTATGTTACACACGATCACATATCTAGATACTTCTGGCAACTTTTTTACACACTACCTGTTGAAGCATATTTGTGGTTCCGTTGCCACAAGTGATATATATGCATAGCTTCGACAAAACGGAGTGTAAATCAATGGTTTCTATACACACAGATTTTTCTTCGTCACGATACTATGTTTATGACATCTTCCCAATTTAACCACAATTGGGGCTTATGCACACGTTGCCATAAATATTGCTCGGCGTGTATGTGTGTGTGTGTGTGTGTGTGTGTGTGTGTGTGTGTGTGTGTGTGTGTGTGTGTGTGTGTGTGTGTGTGTGTGTGTGTGTGTGTGTGTTGTGTGTGTGTGTGTGTGTGTGTGTGTGTGTGGTGTGTGTGTGTGTGTGTGTGTGTGTGTGTGTGTGTGTGTGTGTGTGTGTGTGTGTGTGTGTGTGTGTGTGTGTGTGTGTGTGTGTGTGTGTGTGTGTGTGTGTGTGTGTGTGTGTGTGTTGTGTGTGTGTGTGTGTGTGTGTGTGTGTGTGTGTGTGTGTGTGTTTGTGTGTGTGTGTGTGTGTGTGTGTGTGTGTGTGTGTGTGTGTGTGTGTGTGTGTGTGTTGTGTGTGTGTGTGTGTGTGTGTGTGTGTGTGTGTGTGTGTGTGTGTGTGTGCTGTTGGTTTCTTTTGACTGTAGACTTAATCCATTAGTCGAACTAAAATTACTCTTACAATATATCTCATATTACTCATTATATTTATGAATATTTATAACCTATTTGATAATAATGATTTACAACAGTAATTCACACATATATTATATAGGTACTTACATATATGTATATTTTAGTGAGCGTGTTTTTGTTTTTGTTGAATAATTAGACAAAAAATACTAAAAGCTATACTAATTATTAGGTTAATGAAAAAGACACGTTTTATGAGGTACTAGACCGAGAGTATGATGAGTGTCCAAAAAATGACAGCATCCAGCAAATAATAGCAGGAGACTTTAATGCCAAAGCCGAAAGAGAGAATATATTTTCGCCCACCATCGGAAAAGTGAGCCTACACCTAGACTCTAATGATAACGGTCTCAGAATCATCAACTTTGCAATGTCTAAGAACATGGTAATAGCTGGGACACGATTTTCCCATAAAGATATACATAAGGGAACTTGGAAATCTCCTGATAATGAAACGACAGTGATCATTATCTAGTTAAAGCACGATTTAAAGAGAGAATATCCAATTTAAAAAAGGAGATCGGGAGAAGAAGAGAAAAAATCGACATTAACAAACTAAAAGATCCCGACATTGAAAATGTGTACAGACAACAAATAGAAGATCAAATAAAGACAAAAAACTTAGAAGAAGAAGAAATTAACCAACTATGGGCAAATATACGAGATATTGTGTTACAGAACTCCGTTGAAATATTGGGCAAAATCAACTCAGAAAAAAGAAATCATTGTAATCACTGGTTATATACCGATCCAGATATTGTGAAATTCAGAGATGCTTCATTAAAAATCTCCTCAGAGTATATATTGAAAAGAGTCGGCGATAGCACACATCCTTGCCTTACTCCTCGCATGATCTTCACTTGGTCGGTCAGCTGGTCTTCGACCTTGACTTAAGCACGCTGGTTCCAGTATAAATTCATGATGATCCGAATGTCCTTCTCATCCAATCCTACTCTTTGTAGTGCGGTGACCATCTTCTGGTGCTTACAACGGTCAAATGCCTTGGCGTAGTCAATAAAACAAATATAGACATCACAAATGAAATCGCGGCATCTCTGAAGTAGGACTTGTAAGGTGAAAAGTGCTTCACGTGTACCCATGGAATTGCGGAATCCGAATTGCATTTCACCGACATTTTCTTCGCATTTCTTGTAAATTCTGGCATGTATGATTTCAAGAAAAATTTTAAGTGCATGACTCATAAGACTGATAGTTCGTAAATCTTCGCACGTTTTCGCAGATCGTTTTTTTTTTTTTTGGTTAGCGTTACAAATGTTGACAATAGCCATTCCTCTGGGATATTACCTGAATCGTATATGGCGTTTAAACAGTTCAGTTAACTCCTTCGTGCTCACTTCACTCATCACCTTAATAAGTTCAACGAGTATTTCGTCCGGACCTGTAGCCTTACCATTCTTAGACCGTTAAAGCAGCCTTTACCTCGCTTTCTAGCATTGACGGCCCTGGCATGCAATTTATTTCCGGAAGGTTGCCTCGGTCGTCCCAGAAAAGTTCTTCGATATATATTTTCCAGGTAACCAACTTCTCATTCCCTGTCGTCGCCAGATTACCGTCTTTATTTATGAGGAGGTGTGTGTTTCTCCTCTTGTATTGACCAGTGGCTTCACGAATCCTTCGGTGGATATTTATATGATCGTGTTTCTCTTGGAGCTCCTCGATTAGTTTACATTTTTCTTGCATCCATGTCTCCTTGGCTCTTTGTATTTCTTTTTTAATTATATTTTTTATTAAATTATATTTTTTTAACACAATATATTATATTTTTAGCTAGTGTAAGTTTAGGTCAGGAATGCGCTCCAAAAAAGTACGACACTGGTATAGTGTGTGTGTGCAACGTCAGCTACTGTGATGAATTACCACCTTTAAAAAAATAGATCAACCACAATATCAAGTATTTACGTCGAATCAAGATGGTCTTAGGCTTCAGAGAACAAATGGAACGTTTCAACCTTATAAGTTTAACATATTAAACGTATTAAACTCTCTTAATACTATTCATATAAATAAATATGAGAAGTATCAAACGATGTTCGGCTTTGGTGGTGCTTTTACCGATGCTTTTGGTTTTAATCTGCAAAGTGTTGAACCAACCCTACAGGAAAAGGTGCTCAGGTAATATTTTAGAGAATATAGAAAAATCGGAAGAGCCTTTTTTGTTTATTACTAAACCTAATTTTTTTTTCTTCAATTTTAATATCTGTGCTTGTTACTACATGTTTTTCTTTTTTGTCCATTTTTATTAATCCTTTGAGGACCCATTCATATGAAATAAACGATTCAAAATAATTAAATGTTTTTCCAAAACCAATTCCAGCTCTTACTTCTCAAAATTTGGTATAGAGTACAACGTTGGAAGAGTGCCCATAGGTGGAACTGATTTTTCAACCAAAGGCTACAGTTATGACGACTCCGATACACCAGATCCTTCACTAAGTTTATTTAAACTTGCTGATGAAGACTATCGTTATAAAGTAAGTACTAATTTATTCTTGAAATATTCTCTTCTTCCTTATATATTTTGGGTGTTTTGTCTTATTTGCATTTTTCAATATTTAATTCTTTAGTTTAAACAGCATAGACGTTTTATCATTCTCTAGTATCCACCATTAATTATTTTGTGGTCTACGATCCTTTTTGGTTTGCTTATATATGTTACTTTTTGTTTAAATATGTTGTTTTTTTAAGTGGGTTTGAAATGGTAAGCCCTTTCAATTACTTAGGTTCTGTTATCACAAACAATGGTGGATATGAAGAAGAGAAACATCGACGCCTTACAATAGCCAGATCAGCAACGGTCAAACTTACTAAAATCTGGAAAGATACGGACAAAACCAGAAACACGAAACTGCGCCTGGTACGGACGCTTATCTTTCCTATTGCTACCTATGCATCAGAAACTTGGACCATTAAAAAGTCCAACTCACGACGTATAATGGTCTTTGAAATGTGGGTATATCGTAGAATGATGCGCATAACCTGGACAACACATCGCACAAATGTCTCAATATTGACAGAACTTGACATCAATACTAGGCTTACCACAATCATCAACCAAAATATATTAAGGTACTTTGGATACATTACCAGACCAGACGAAAGTACGCTACCGGTTACTCTCTGTCTTAGGCAGAGGGCACACCGTGCCCAGGAGAGGGAAGAATGGATAGTAACCATTCGTCAAATACCATAACGTCACAACATCCTTATGAATTATAAAGGATAAAGGAAGAGGAGGATATATGTTACTATGAATGTTTAAAATTGGTGTGCGTCGACATTCACCGGTGAATGTCGATGACTTTGTGAATTGTGAAAGACCAAACGTTTATAAATATTATAGTTTCGGTGTATCACCGGTATATGTCGACTAGCACAAATGAGTTTCGGCTAATGTCGAATTTAAGCGGTTGTTACTGGTTTTTGATGGTTTATGGGTGGCGTGTTATATTTCTTGTTGTCTCAGGTCCATCAGTCTTAGGCAAGATTTAGAAGCGCGTGTTTTTTTGTGATCAATGGTTACTGCAGTAAATAGTGATTAGTTTTTTCAAAAATTACATGCCCTAATTGAAAGTAAACGAAAAGACAATTGTTTCTAGGGTGTCCATCAAATAGACGCAAGTCTTTGCACCTTGCTGAGTTTGGCTTTTGCAGCTGTTAAAGTATCAGTTCACCAAATCATTGTTGCGTAGGTTATTAATGTGTTTATCACCATAGTGTACACCCAGTGCACCATATCCGAGAAATCCCAATTTCTTACCATACCTTACCTGATAAGTGTTGTAACTGCACTGCTTCTTATTTTTTCTAATTGCTGGCTCCAGGTGAATTTCGTGTCTAGTATAACCCCGAGATACTTTACCTCTCTTTGGCTGAATTTCTTGTTCCTGTAACTTTAGGGGACCTCATTCCACTAGTTTTCGCCTACGTGTGAAGACGACTATGGTGGATTTGTAGGCAGCAGTTTACTGGAGTGTAGGTTGTGCAGATAAATTTAGATTTTTCCAGGGGTTGTTGCCGGTAGAGGTTTTTCCTTATTACTCCAGTATTTATTGTCTATAAATCAGTGCCTTTAATTCAAAAATTGATTTTATAACAGCCTTGTTTTACCCCGTTGCTTTATCATAACAAATTCTATTCTTATTTTTGCAGCTATCTTATATACGCCGAGCTCGCGAGTTAAACCAGGACTTAAAATTATTTGCCTCCGCCTGGATAGCACCGAAATGGATGAAAACCAACCACGCCTATTCAGGATTCGGTCGTGTGAAGGATGAGTACTACCAGACATGGGCAAATTACCACAAAAAGTTTTTTGATGAATATAAGAAAGAAAATATTACATTCTGGGGCGTAACAACAGGAAATGAGCCTAGTTTGTCGATGTTCGGATCCAACATTCCTTCCAATCGGTTCACTATTGAGGAAATGGTAAGTACGTAAATGTTGGAACTGTTTATTACTGTTCTGACACTATTTTTCTTGTGGCATCTTAATGCAATTACTATTTTCGTTGGGCAGTGGCAGCTCGTGGCTTTAGAGACAAGGTCGGCAAGGATTTTTTTTGTCTCCTCAGATAGATATACTGTCTAATAAAAAGACTTCAATCATCACAGCAGATTTTTTGTTTTTTTTTTTGTTTTTTCCTAATAATTTAGAACCTAAAAATATTTATAAATTAACTCCAGTCTACGTTGTTTGAAAGTAGCAAAATGGGTTATAACGTCATCGTAAAATCGTGACATTTGAGACAAGCTTGACATTCTCTTTTCTTTCATGGTGTTTCGACAATACGTCTTTTCTTTTGAGATAAGAGAAATCTCGTTCAGTTGAGGCAGAAGTTGGTGATCATGAGAGAATTAATGACAATAATTTATTAATTTCGGTAACAGTTTATTGTAGTGAATTGCAGTATATAAAATTATAGATATCTTGTAACTAATCCCACCTTCTGAAAATATTTGGATCAGCATATAATAGCTGATAATAGGATAGCTTTTAATTCATTTTCTAATTTTATTTGATTAAAGAATGATGGATAATTTTTAATTAACCTGTGTAATAAATATTTTGGAAATTCTTTGGCGTAACTTTTAAATTTTGAATCGTTAAAGAGGGCAAAAATTTGCAAATCTTCAAAATTTGAAAAACAAGTAGATATTTGCATAAAAATAGTATCCAAAATTTCATATTCTTATACTCGTTTCTCGAGATCTGTGTCTGTTATACCTTTGTCTTTTTTTGGGGGGTTCAACAATATCAAGCGAGTCCATAACGTCACTGCGTATATACTGGAAATTACTATCATTACGAAAATCTGAGATTTTGTACCAGCTATGTTATTCTATTTTTGGAATGAATAATGTCAGTTGACTGATTTTAAACAACATTGAATATCAAATCGGTTTTTGTAAACACTTTCTTAAAAATATTTATTAAAACTATGTTAAAAGAGCAATCATTTATTAAAGTTTCCGAAACGATTGCTTTACGGATCAAGATATCATCAGTTTAAAAATCGTCGCATTCAATAATAAAATCAAAAACTTTCAAAAGCTTCAAAAAGCCAAAGGACGCCCCTTATTTTTAATAACAATTTGTTTTTCGTATGGAATAAATAAAAACCCATTTTGCAAAATATAATTTACAATATCAGATTTATCAATACTTACAGTTTCTCCTATAGTTTGCATTTTTACGTTAATTTGCCTGAATTTGTTTACACTAAATTAAAAAAAAACTTCTAATATATCAAAAACCTTTTAGGCAGCGGTAACTTATCACAGTATTACTTTTAGATTGTAAAAATAACTTAATACAAAACAATATCGATCGATATAATACCAGAAAAGCCAGTCCGTGCACTCATTATCACTTCACTACTTAAGTTCTTATCCATCCCGAAATAACATTTTATCCCGCACTCACAAGGTACAGTTTGCTCCCAATCCAAATGAAGCATTGGCAAATTTAAATTTGCCGTACTTGGCAATTAAATGCGTATAAAGAGAAATGTATGTTTGGTTACTCATCGACTAATATTTCTTTGATTTTTACATGTAAATCGTCAAGTAAAGTCGAATTCTTTTAAAAACCATGAATAAAATTTTTTCTTTATTATCTCACAGAATTTTTTTTTTATTTCACAGAAACAAATGACCTCAACTTATTACCTGCTACGATTAATTATCGAAATACTGATTAAATTAAATATTAAAAAACATTTATAATATCTATAAATGTGTGGGTCGGCACTGCCGACCCTGACCGGCCGCCACTGTCGTTGAGAATAAGCCACAATATAAGTTTAAAATAAGTTTATTATTAAATACTACCAGTCATGACATACGGCTGCGAAACTTGGACACTAAAGAAAGCGAAAAGAATTGAATGGATCAGACAGAAAACCACAGAATTAAATCTTTAAAATGGCAGTATGCGGGACATTTAGCGAGAGGTACTGACAATAGATGGTCCACTAGAATTACACTGTGTTATTCAAGAGGTATCAAGAGACCAAGAAGACATCCAAATTTAAGATGGGACAACATAAGGAAACAAGTCGGTACAACATGGTACATAAAAGCGAATAATAGATAATGGTGGACAAAAATTTAGAACCACTATGTAAGGGATACTGTACCATAATCGATAGACCACGCTGAGAATAATGATGATGGTGATGATTATGTAACCACTTCCGTATTACAGTTTAAATATTATTATTTTTGATTTTTTAAATTTTATATCATATTGTACTTATTGTAATAAAACTTTCAGAAAAGATGGGTAGGAGATCACTTGGGACCGACTATTCGTCAATCTGAGTATAAAGATCTAAAAATAATGGTACTGGACGATCAACGAGTGTTTTTGCCATGGTTTGTGGATGCGGTAAGTATAACCTAGTAAATAAATACATGAACAAATGATAACCTTTTATAAACACAAGGTATTTGCATTTTACATCATGTATTTTTAAAATGGATCATGCCGGAATTCGGTCAAATAAGCTAATTTCATTTGTAATCCCAATTTAAGAAAATTGTCTGCAAAAAATGTGCAGATCACAGAGCTAACATTTTTATTTTATTTAAAAATCCTTTATTAAAGGTATGCTGTGGCATAAAACACAATGGCAATCGCTGTGACATGTTACACGTTTCCACCTCTATATTCATTTCACAGTAGGTACGAATTGTCGTAATTGTCACATTGACATTAAAAATTTTAAACGAAGTTCTGAAAGAATAAATAAATAAATAATAACATGCCTATTACGTTGTATACCGCCTAAGAAAAAGTGCAACTTGTAACATGGTACTTTCGGGGCCATTGGATACGCGAAGTAATTGATTTATTTATTGCTGCCTTCGAAAATAGACCCCCACGAAGTGTTACAACAGTTAAAAATACCATTAAACATTTTCCAACTTTGGGATGTGTAAACAGTCGTAAAAAGTGTCATGAAGGTAATGAATCACGTGTAAGACTTGTCGATGAGGAGCGTCAAAACAGGGATATTGATATTTGTGCTTTTGTGGAAGCTAGTGAACCCTGCAATAGTATACAAATTGCTAGGGAAGTTAACGTGAATACTCGAACTGTCCAGCGAGTTCTCAAAAGGAAGGGATATCTTTGTTTTAAGATACAACCAACACAAGATCTGTTTTCGGAAGATAACTTTAAGCGGATGGAGTTTTGTGAATTTATGTTAGATAAAAAGAATGAAAATGTACACTTTTTAAAAAATATTTTATTTTCTGACGAATCTTCATTTTCATTACATAAAAAACACATTCCATCCGTTTCAAGGTATTATTCTCGGAAAAATAAGCACCTCAGTATTGCAGTGCGAACTCAGCATCCGCAAAAGTTAAATGTTTGGACTAGGATGTTAGGCGATCATATTGTCATACATCTAGAGCAACTATTGACTTCCTCAATCAAACGTTTCCTGATCGACTGATAAGTACATGTGGTACAATTAAACGGCCTGCTAGATCCCGTGACTTAGCGTCTAACGTTTTCTTTTTTAGGGGTTTTCTCAAAGATAACATTTATAGGCATTAGTTTGAAACGCCACAAACCTAGTCGAATTAAGGGCAAAAATAGTTCATTTCTCTGCAAGAATTACACCAGCCCTACTTCAAAATATAAGGAGAAATCTGTATGACAGATTTGGTTACTGTTTAGCACAAGGAGGTGGAATATTTGAGCCCTTAATTCATTAATCTTTCCTACTTTTTATTTTTTGTAGGTAGCTATTTTTTTTCTTATGTTTCCTATTTTTTGTTGGTTCTTAATTAGATAGTATTTTTTATGTTTAAGTTTGGAAGAATTTTATTGTTTTTTTTTATTTAAAAGTACAAACGATTCTTATTATGATGTTTTTTCTTCTTTTTTGTCTTGTTGTTATAAGCTTTGTTCATAAAATTTGTACAATTTTCAGTGGTACTTATTTATTTACTTATTTATTTGTATTGCTATTAAGGCTAAAAAATAACCAAAAAATTGGTTTTAGAGTATTATAATAAATATATTCTAGAGATGTTATTGCAATTAATCTTAATTCAACCCCCTCTGTGGCTCAGTGGTAAGAGCGCCTGCCTTTAAATCTAAAGGTCGTGAGTTCAAATCCCACCTGGGTGGAAATTTTCGTTTATTAAAAAAATTAATAAATGAAAATAATTTATATCCTTGTGTGATCGGTACACACCGGAGGGACCGCAGACGTTCGGATATAATTAGCGTCTCTTAGCAAAGACAATGACGTCGACTTTGCTAAGTATCAAGATAATTACTCTACACACACACACACACACACACACACACACACACACACACACACACACACACTCACACTACACCTCAAATTGTAAGATTGGCGAATGGATTTAGTGTCCGCAGTCATTTAAACACAAACAAACAACAACAATCTTAATTCCTATGGTCAACTAAACAATGTCGTTATCTGTATAATTAAAAAGACCCTTTCGGGCTACATCGCAGAACGTTTTTAGACTAAAAAGTTCATCATCACTGTATTATCATCATGTGTTACATTTTTGTTAAAAGTTTTTAACAGATACCTGCATGGCAACGTAAGACTCTCAATGGGGGTTGCTGGTGATCCTGGGTCAATGTCTCTATATGCCATCAAGATCCCATAGGGTCTCTCTCTCAGGGTCAGCAGCAACCCCATTTTGAGTCTTACGTTGCTATGCAGGATATATGTTAACAACTTTAACATAACACCATCTTTTTAACAAAAATGTAATAAATAAGAAATTTTGTACTGTTTTAAGGATTTTTGCCCAAATATTTAGTGGCTTGACTCGTGTACACCTGGTAATACGACTGATGATGGACTTCTTAGTCCTTCGAAAACATTTTGTGATGTAGCCTGAAAAAGTATTTGTAATTATATGCCTCTTATAAAAGGTTTTTAAGTAAAACTTTTCTAATTTATGGTATACAGCCAACTACAGAAATTTCATTTTCCTTGTGGATTTTTCTCTAACGCTCTAAATACCACCACGTTTGATCCCCACTTCTTTACATCTACAGGATGCGTTTATGGAGCGTTTTAGTTGAGAAGCAATTCGTTAGTAGAATGTTGTTTGCTGAAATTTAATTATTTTGAATAGTGATGTAGCAGTTCATTAGTAGAGTGTAGAGTGTTGTTTACATCATATTATACACATCTTAAAGCAGAACTATCAAAACATACAAATCTACTATAATTGTTACCGCAACTAGACTTTATTATACAAAAACCTATTAACAACATTGTACAACAAAATCTGAATGTGCTTTCTACTCTAGTCTTATTTTAGAAGAAGAGGTTTATATAACCATAGAATTAAATAGTGCACATCATTGCAAAACTATCATTTTAGTGTAATATACGTATATAAGTTTTAACAAATTCGTTTTGCAGGTTTTTAGCAACGAAACTATTAAAAATTATATTGATATTGTTGCCGTACACTGGTACTGGGATGACGTGATCTTACCTTTGGTATTGGACCTGGTGCATAACAAATATCCCGAAAAGCTGTTAATGGGTACTGAGGCTTGCGTAGGTCAGTAAACTTAAAAATAATTTTTCAGAATACACAATACACTATTGCAAATTGTGTACAATATTAAATGCACAATTTTTTATACTTGTTTTTTTTGTGTTTAGGTGATCGTGTTTGGGAAAAAAGTGTAGAACTGGGTTCATGGCAAAGAGGAGAACGATATGCGTTCAGCGTTATACAGGTTTGATTTTTTTATATTTATTAATGATACTTATAAATTTTAGTATTTAATATATTATAATTTATCATAATTAATTTATTACAATTAGTTCGCTCATACGTATTTCAGCCTAAAAGTAATCATCGGAACAACTATTTACAGAAGCTCCTCACAAAGCTTGTATAAATAGTCGCGCTGATGATTCCTTTTAGGATGAAAAACGTATAAGTAAATATACAGAGGCACTATACGTGAAATCACATCTTAACTGTCTTTCTTTTGTTTCGATATACTCTTTATGAGTACAAAAAACCAATTCGTCAAAGATTTTTGCTTAGTTGAGGAGATATGTTGTAGAATGCAATTTTAGATTGCCCATTTCTCTCTTTACATCTTTAACAACGCCTGTTTTGCCTTACAATTCTTAGAAGGTACAGATTAAATCAAAATTGAGGAGGTAATTTTCATAACCCCACATGTCCAAAAATATTTTTTTAAATAAGTGATGTTTTTAATTCGTCATTTTAAAATGCATTGCCAGTCATGTTTATATCCGATCAAAAACCAACATTTCCAGTTGTAATATTAATTTAAAAGTAGGTATTTAAAGCAAAACCCCACATCTTATGTGTGACAGTTATAACAAAATCCCCCATTTTCTATTCGGCCATAGAGGAATAAGTATTTCAATCACGTGACTTAAATACAGTATTTTGATTTGATTGTTATTGTTGACAATACACAAACTTAACAGGTTAGTTTAAGAAGAAAATTATAATTTAATGTTGGTTTGTGCTTAATTGAGTGAAATTATTAGTTTAAATGAAAGTAATTTAGATGGTGAATTAGTATTAGGACAATCTTGCTTAGGCCTAGGTTTACAAGCAAAATCCAAACCAAAATTGACTTCCGTTACCTACCGATTTCCTCTTACTTCTGGGGGTAGCGTAACTGTGTGTAAATCTTTCTTTTTGCACCTTACTCAGTTTACAAGAGTTTGAAGACTTGTATCAAAACTAAAAACTAACCAAGGGCTAGAAGACAACAGAGGAGATGATAGAATAAGCCAAAGATCACTGGTTAAGAAGGAGGCGGTTCGGCAGTTTATTGGAAATTTAAAAGATACTGAAAGTCACTACAACCGCAACAAATCAAAAAGAGTATATTCAAGTAGTGATCTTTCAATACGAAAACTTCACATGATTTATAATGCTAGTGCAGAAAATCCTCAACTCCAAGTAAAGTTATCAATGTTGCGTAAAATATTCCGCGGAAAGCTCAATGTTGGTTTCAAATCTCCGGCATCTGACGTCTGTGGATATTGTGCTATGATGGACTTTAAAATTAAAAATGCTACAGGAACTCAAAAGCAGGTACTTTTTACTGAAAAAAGAATACACAAGAAAAGGGCATTGTGTTTCTTTGACCTAATGAAAGAAACCAAATAAAAAGAGAAAACTATAGGCTTTGACATGCAGCAGGTGAAACCACTTCCTCGAACGCCTATTCAGCCGGCATTTTATACCAGACAATTAATTTTTTGCAATGTTTGTGTAACAGATATTAAAAATGACAACACCCCATACTTTTATACCTGCACCGAAGAGCAAGCAGGGCGCGGTTCAACCGAAGCAGCTTCTGCTCTTCCTAGTTATCTTCAATCAGATGACCTTGCAGATGTGACTCACCCGAGATTGTTTTGTGATGGATGTACTTCTTCTTCTTTGGGTGCCGTGTCCGTATTCAGACGTTGGCCGTCATCATGCTTACAATTTCCTGAAACCTTTCTCTGTCGGCTGCTGCGCGAAATAATTCTTCTACTGTGAAACCACACCATTGTCTAATATTACGCAGCCATGAAAGTTTCTTTCGACCAATCCATCTCTTTCCTTCCACTTTTCCTTGTATTATAAGGCGAAGTAAATGGTATTTGGGTCCTCTAATTATATGGCCGAAGTATTCTGTTTTTCTCCTCTTTATGATGTTTATGAGCAGACGTTCTGAGTTGATCATTTGAAGAACATCTTCATTGGAAGTGTGCGAAACCCACGGTATCTTTAGGATTCGTCTATAGCACCACATTTCGAATGCTTCTAACTTGTTTAGCATTGTGGTTTTTAACGTCCATGTCTCACAACCATACAATAGGATCGACCACACATAACATTTCAGGACCTTCTTACGAATGTTCATTGACAGGTTTCTGTTGCATAAAACTGGTTTCCAGGTCATAAAAGCCTTACGTGATATTTCGATCCTGGATATTATCTCTTCATCAGAGTCACAATTTACATTTAACCAGCTGCCAAGGTATTTGAAATGATTTACCCTTTCTATCTCTTCTCCATTAAGAGAAAGCAGACCTTGATCTATATGGATCTTTCCAACTGCCATCCACTTTGTCTTTGAAATGTTGATTTTTAGGCCTCTCCGATAACTTGCTTCACTGACTAGATTTAGTAATGTTTGGAGATCTTGTAAACTTTCTGCAAGAATGGCTGTATCGTCAGCGTATCTAATATTGTTGATTACTTCTCCACCTAGTCTTACTCCCTCTTGTCTGTCATCCAAAGCCTCCCTAAAGATTTCTTCAGAGTACAGATTAAAAAGAGTGGGTGACAAAACACAACCCTGCCGTACTCCACGTTTGATGGGTATTTTTTCAGTGGGACTGTCTCCAATTTGGATAGAGGCTACTTGATTGTAATATAAGTATTTCAGCAGTCTTATATCATAGTGGTCAAGTCCTGCTGCCCGTAGGCAGTCGAAAAGTGTATTGTGTTGGACTCTGTCGAACGCCTTCTCGAAGTCGATGAAACAAACATAAACATTCTTTCGGAATTCACAACTTTTTTGTAATAGAACGCGCATACAGAATAGTGCCTCTCTAGTTCCTAGACCGTTTCTAAATCCAAATTGCTTATCACCCATCTTACTTTCGCATAGAAGGAATACTCGGTTTTGTATAATTCGTAAGAGTATCTTCAGTGTGTGACTCATCAAACTGATTAGTCTAAAATCGCTGCATTTGGTGGGCAGGTCAGAACAAAAACAATCATGTACTTCATTCTTTAATGTACTTTTTAGCAGCCCACGAAGGCACCTTGACACATATTACTATCAATTTCACTGTCAGGGACCATTCTTTTTTACCAGCCGATAGGGTTTTTGGAAGAGCCAAGAAATTGTTGCGGAAGAAACCTACTCTTATTGATAAAGAAGAGTACCTTGAAGAATATAAAAAAGTTGGAACTGTGAAGGTACTTGGAACAGATTGGTCTTTAAAAGATGTAAAGTCACTTTCTAATAATTATTTAAAACACTTAGGTACCTGCTAAAATCAGTGACACAAAATGAATTTTCATTGAGAAAGTTGTGACAAAGAAAAAATTACATATATGAGTTAAAGACAATAAATTCTATCGGTTTGAACCAGAACTACACAAATACAGCCTTCTAAAGCAACACACGACTTGAAAAAAACACTGAAAAATCCTCTTGAAGAAATTCATTTAGTTCATCCCGTAAGCGCAGCAAAAAGAAGGATGTGAACGAACTGTTAATTATTCTTTTTGATGCAAACTGGCAAGACATTGAAAGCCTTCTTTGGTACAAAAACATTATTAATGTTCCATATGTAGATGGACCTGAAAAAGAGGAGGAAGTTATTTGTGACTGTTTAGAAGAAGACTGTGCCCATCACTTGTAATATCTAGACTATGATCTCAAGGTTTCACTCTATATGTTTCACTATAACATAAGGTTTTACTGTAATATTGTGAAAAAGGGTAATTATTTTATTATAGTAAATAAAATTTTATTTTTCATATTATAAAGAACATGTTATTTTTTACTTTGCTTACTAGTTTGTCCAATACTGAGTCCAACCCTAAACTAAAATAAATAATCTTATGCTAAAGGCCGACAAAAAACAGTACTATCAAAGTATATGCAAAGAAATTGAGAGACATGGTCAGAATAATCAGCCGAGAGATCTATTTAGATAAATACGCTACCTGACAAGAGACTTCAGAGCCAGAACTTGGGCCCTTGAAGATAACACTGGAACCCTGAGAACAAACAGAGAAGATATAGCAGAGACATGGAGATCGTATTGCAGGGACCTATTTAAAGATGATCAACGCCAAGGGCTTGTTAGCCAAATCTCTGACGAGGTGGAAGAAGAACCTGATATACTCGAAAATGAAGTAAGACAGGCTATCAACAAGCTCAAATATAACAAAGCACCAGGTCCAGATATGATAACAGCAGAAATGCTTAAAGCCACAGAAGAAACCGGCGTAAAGTTACTTCATCTACTCTGTAACCAAATATGGCATTCCAAACAATGGCCTGAAGACTGGACAAAATCTACAATAACGACCATACATAAAAAAGGCAGCTTCCATAAATGCGACAATTATAGAACTATCTCTCTTATATCCCATGCCAGCAAGATAATGCTACATATAATCAATGAGAGACTGAAAACATTCCTTTAAAGAGAAATTCCACAAGAACAAACTGGATTTACCAAAGGTAGAGGTACTCGAGAACACCTGCTGAATATAAGACAGAGAATCGAAAAATCTAGGGAATTCAACATCCCACTATACATCTGTTTTATAGATTACCGTAAAGCGTTCGATAGGGTCAAGTGGAGACACTTATGGCGAATACTAAAAGAAGTAGGCGTACTACAACATCTAATTACGCTTATAACCGAACTATATGAACACACTACTGGATCAGTTAAAGTACTTGACACACTTTCGAACGAGTTTCATCCAGAACGGGATGTCAGACAAGGATGTATACTATCTCCATAATTATTCAACATATATGGGGAGTATATTATGCGAAGAGCACTTGAAGGATGGGAAAAGGGCATCTCAATAAATGGTCATAAACTAAACAACCTACGTTTCGCAGATGACACAGCCCTTCTTGCAAATAGTCAAGCAGAGCTGATAGAACTTATACGACTGATCGAAAACGAAAGTCAAATATTTTGTCTGCAATTAAACATATCAAAGACAAAGATCATGATAGTGGATAGACTACACAACAATCATCCACACATAACCACAATTGACCGGTTCGAGGTTGTGAGCTCATACTTATATCTGGGATCATTAATCACAAACACAGGGTCATTACAAGAAGAGATTAAACGTAGAAGTGATCTAGCAAAAGTTGTCACAGCAAAAATGACCAAAATATGGAAGGACTGTCAAATTTCAAGAGCGATAAAGATGAGGTTGATCAACTGTTTAATATTTCCAATACAGCAAAAATGACCAAAATATGGAAGGACTGTCAAATTTCAAGAGCGATAAAGATGAGGTTGATAAACTGCTTAATATTTCCAATACTGACCTACGGATGTGAATCTTGGACTCTGAGACAATCGGAGAGAAGAAAGATAGACGCCACTGAAATGTTCTGTTGGAGACGAATGTTACAAATTCCTTGGACCGACCGTAGAACAAATAATTCAATTTTAAGAGAGCTAAAAGTTAGCCAACGACTCTCTAGTAAAGTCCATCTCCAACAATTAAAATATTTTGGGCATGTTATGAGAGCAAACACAGAAAACATGGAAAGGCTCATAATACAAGGAAAGGTAGAAGGCCGAAGATCACGAGGAAGATCCCCAACAAGATGGATAGATCAAATTACAGGAATATGCCAAAGACCTATGCATGAATTTAAAAGAAATGACCAGAGACAGAGATCTCTGGAGACGGACAATACACGACATCACGTCGACCACTACACTCCCCCTGGGAGGTCAGGATTGAAGAGAGAGATGCTAAACTATAGTAAATTGATTTGATCAAAACACGACATATCCAAACCTGTTCATAACCCCATATGTGACATGTGTTTCATGCATAACTCCACATCTAAATACTTTTATATTATATTTTTAATTTGTTATACCACTTTCTACACAAGTAGTTTTCTTAGCTCATAAACCAATACTGAACTATAACTATATTACATAAAATATGTTTTGGAAAAAAAATGTAGATGAATCGGCTTTTTTACTCTCCTAAAAAAATAGCCAATGTGGACATGTGGAGTTATGAAAATTACCTCCTCAAATCTAGATTTTGGTTTCGTCAATAGAAATCTTCGGATTTCTAGTTTCGTAATTTTTTAGTTAGATATTTACTTACCAAAATCAAAATGTTTCAGCTAAATATAAGTTCAAATGGTATAAAAATATGAGACAACTATTCATCTATGTACAAAACGGTATTAAAAAGTATGTTATTTCATGATTCATTACATGATATAAAGAGAGGCTGTGAAACAAGAACATTTATTTGTTGACTAAGTTTACTTTTGTTGACGAAAACCAGGGCTACATGTACAGCGCGAATGAGAATCCATTTATTTTTGCAGGATATTCAGCACCACTTCATAGGCTGGACTGACTGGAATATGGCTTTAGACACCAAAGGAGGACCAACATATATAAATAATAACGTCGATTCTCCGATAATAATAAATTCAGCGGCAGGCGAATTTTACAAACAACCGATGTATTACTCATTGGGTCATTTCTCGAAATTTGTCCCTAGAGGATCTGTTAGAATAGGAATAACTCAAAAACTATTTATTTCTTCTACAGCATTTCTAAGACCCGACCAAGGCGTTGTTGTTGTTCTCCAAAACAGGTGAGTTGTTATATTTTTTACCGGAGGTCGAACATTACCTTTTATTATTAAAATTAGAACAGAATTTTAAGTATAGAAGGTAATTTAAAAATAAAATTACATTAGCCAAATTATTCGTAACTTTAAAACTTTCAATGCCACGTGTCGTCAAAAGAACTTTTGTTTACTTGATTCAGGTGCCACTGTCGCCAAACGGCGTTTTCCCAACTTGAATGAGGTGCCACTGTTGCCTTCGGGCGTTCACAAACTTGAGAAATAAATGGGTTATTTTTCCAGTGAGCTCTACATATAGTTTTTGTTTTGCAGGCATTTGGAAAAGGTTCAATCTATACATTTTTAAGTCTGGTTTGTTTTCTCTTTTGTAAGTAATTTATTTTCTACTTATTTCAATATTTAGACTGTTAAAGATAACATAAGTAACAATTTGAATTTATATTGTTTTTTGTTCTTCTTTAATGAGGGGGGTGATCCAAATGTTCGAAACATACCTTGGCCTTAGAAGGTAGACAGAACCGCCTTCCAACTCGGTTATGCTTAACTCCTCCAGCGTGACCACGATGATATCAGAGGCCGAGCGCTAGGGTTGTTCGGATGCAATCGCCGTCAATGTTAGAGACCTACCTGCTAAAAAAACCCCCTTCTCAGCGGTGAACTACCGGCCGGATCGCCCTGATTGGGACGCAACATCGGCACAGCATTCACCCGAACTTTTATTCACGCACAATTCTCACGCATTCTAGCACTTTCTCACTAGGAAGAAATTCCTCTCTCCCTCTATTCCTCCCTATTCATGTTAAATCTCGCTCCTTCTCATTTTGCCTTATCTTCTTACGTGGTCCTGTTCACCCTGCCTATCTTCGGGTCGCCTTTCTTCTTGCTCCTTTCTTTCCGATGTTTTACTCACATATCTCTTAACTGCTCTCCACCGATCTGACCTAAGCATCTCCTCCACCAGTTCCGTGACTGATTGCATCCTACCTCCTAGCTCTCTCTCAAGCAAGCCCTCTCAACTATCCATCTATCGCATACCAATAGAGTACGTGAGACAGTGTCTGATATTTAACAATACAGGCAATTGTCATTTTCTGCCTTTCCAAATCTGTAAAGGTATGCCCTGAAACAACCATGTCCTGTGAGCATCTGCGTCAGGAAATAATCCAAACGCCGGTGCCCTCTGACAAATAGTCGGAGACCAAATTCATCAAGTACCTCGGACACCTCTCTCGTAGAGCCTTCATTACATCTTTCTATTTTAATGTGTTGAAAGCATTTCGGACGTCAAACAACAGTGGGATTGCCCACCTCTGCTTAACCCTCACCCCGCGTAACTCTCGGAAGACTTCCATCAGTGCATCCACCGTGCTCCTGTTTTTTCTGAAACCGTACTGCCTGGGTGACAGCCCGGACTCCCGTGACTCTTCAATCACTGTATCTATTCGCCCTCTTAAGAGCCTCTCGTATAATTTACCTATGCACGACAGAAGGCAAACAGGTCGATACCTGTTTTCCCCCTTTGGGAGTAGCACGATCTTCGAGATCTTCCAATTTGCCTGAGATCACTGAGTTGCAAGCAGTACATTTATGTGGTCCAAATCCACGTCGGTTCCATACTGCCAAACTCTCTAGCAAAAAACAGAGCTCTCGGTTAACCTCAAGCTTCCTGTCCAGTGGCATCTCATACAGAGAGTATAGCTTGAACTGGTTCATTACAATTTTGTACCCCTGACCCCAAACTTTCTCATCCAACTTGTCACACAGTTATCTCCAGTGCCTCTTCTTCTTGGCTCGGATCTTCCTGTTCAGCTCCTTCTTTAGCGCATTGTACACCATATCTATTTCTGCTAGCTTCGGCTACTTCTCCTCTACCTCTTGCCCTCGTAGCCTGTCTTCTGATGATAATGCATTCCTTCCTCTTATTGGCGATCTCTTCGCACCACCAATAAGGCCTTTTCTTTTTTCATCTACCCCGTTTATGCAATTTCTCATAGTCTCTCTTATTATTGATTCAAGTTCTTCTGCCGTTGGCGGTTGGCATCTTCTCCTCTCTATCCACCATCTAGAATACTCATCAAACGAATTTATATTGTAAGAAGTAGGTATGTTGTGTTCATTTAATTTTTTTTTTTTTCAAGTTTTCTACGTTCCTTTCTGAAAGTTTTGGAAATTCAGTTTCCTAAGATTTCTACACCCTTATTTATGGATTTCCCACGAAACCAGACGTTTGCTATTTCTCTTTTGACCAAGTTGTTGGTCAAATTTATCCATCTGATAACTCCGAGCTGCCAAGCGGTTCAAATAGGGAGATTCTTAAATTTCCCATCAACCAAAATGGTCTAAATTAATGCAATGTTATTTTTACGACAAACCAGTATAAGATCAGAACCAATATCGAATTAAAAGCACTCTACAATGACACCGATATTGTACAAGAAATTAAATCACAGCGACTAAGATGGGCAGGCCACGTGCACAGACTGCATAACGAGAGACTTATAAAACTGGTATGGGAGGAGATTCCACAGGCAAAAAACCACTCGGACGTCCCAGAATGCGATGGAGAGATAACATCCAAGCAGATCTCCTCAAAATAAACATTCCATTTGACCGTAACTTGATGGAAGACCGAACAAATTGGAAAAAAGTTGTAAAGTCAGCCAAGACCCACTCAGGGTTGTAGCGCTACGTGATGATGATGTTATGTTTACGAAGATTCTGTTGCGAGAATTAATGCAGCAGATCTAGATTTAAGTTAAAACTTTTTTTATTTGTTCCTACACATGTAATTTTTGTTCATATAGTTATAACAGTATAAAACTTATGCTGTGAGAATTAATGAAACGCAACAGGGTCTTTTATGTTCCCTAAAGTAAGAAAGTTGTATATTTCTTATATACTTAATAAATGATATAAATTCCAAATTTGTATGTTTATTATATTTTTTTTACTAAAAAAATTAATTGCACATGTTATTATACTAATATATTTTTAAATGTCTCTATTGACCTCCGGAATGGTGTATAAGCCAAATTAATGCAAAACAAAGCATTCTTTCCTTTCACCCCGTTTGGAGGGTGAAGAGAAAAACACTACTTTTTTTTAGTTGAGAAACTTTTTCAAATGTGTTCACTAGGCCCTTAAACCTATTAGCAGTGACACACATTTTGCATATTTTCGTGGTCGATTAGATAAATAGCAACCTCACTACAAAGCCTGAAAAAGTGAAAACCTCAAAACTGTTTCTATTGACCCCGTTTCACGGTAACCTATAAAAGTGAAACATGTCTATTTTAGTCATTAAGTTCCTAAACCGAGTATAAACAAATATTTTCAAACGTATTTTTATATATTACTTTTTTTGTTACAGGGGTGATTTTGGCCACAACATCGAATTAGTAGACAGCGAAAGAGGAAAAATTAGTTTGACTTTGGGTCCACACTCACTGACTACAGTTGTGTATTATTAATATATAAATATATCAACAAGCTGAGATGTATCCTACTTATGTAAAAAGAAGAGTTAAATTATTAAATAAATTTTTTTGTTCCTTAATGTTTATAAATAAAGCAGTATAGAATTTTTGAAAAAAAAAGCCAACTTTCCAACCTAACGGTCGTAGGGCAACTTTTTTTTTAATTTGTCCATAAAAAATTGTAGAGGGTAATTATATGTTGTCATACATTTGGTTTTTTCTGCTGATATCATATTGTATTTCTTGCCTGTTGTATTGAGGATCTTCTGCCTCGGCGATTAATGCGGCGTCGTCTGCATAACATAATATGTGGATTTCTTTGTTCCCCATTTTGTAACCATGACCTTTACATACTGCTTGTATTATTTCGTCCATTATTATATTAAAGAGAAGTGGGCTTAACGAGTCACCCTATTTGACTCCTCTTTGTACTGATATACAATGTGTTAATTTTCCATTTATCTTTGCCTATATTCGATTATGTAAGTAGATGTTTTCGATAGTTTGTATAATATTGATTGGTATGTTTCTTTTATACAGTAGGTGTAAGACGTCTTCGACTTGAATGCGATCGAAAGCCTTTGTTAGGTCTATAAAACAGATATGCTAGTTTATTGTTCATGTTGTTCATTATTATTAATTAAAATAATTCAATTAATCGTTTTAAAAACAATTAATTTATTGCATTTTAAAATTTTACCTCTTTTTAAAGATTATTAATAAATAAGTGTACCAAAAAACTGTTACCCTAGGTCATTTTAAAGGTTTTTCAATAAACTAACAAGTTATAAAACAAAACTATAAACCTTTATTTAAATAAAACAATATAACAAATCAACTCTGAGGCAACTTCATCGCTATAAGGGCATAGTTAATTGAGTCATCAGAGCACAAGTGCCAGGTATTGGTGATAATATTGTAAAAAATTCCATGGACTAGTTCTGTTCGACAATTACCTAAAAAAAAATTAAAATAACTGTCCAACTGACATAAAAATTAACAAACAGCATGACACTTGGTTGCGTTCAGGGCCATGGCATTCAACACACACCACTAACTCAACTGATCGAGATCGTGTTGAAGATTGACACAAACTTCTGTATTATTGATAATTGTGTAGAACTTTAGATAGTCCGCAAAAAAAGAGGTGAACTGTGTTGGAAGCAGTGATGTATATGATTGATAATTATGTTAAATAACAGGGATCCCAAATGGGAACCCTGGGGTACTCCTGAATGAATCTTAGTTAATCTAACTGAAAACAAAATCCCTGATATGCACTATCTGAACTCGGTCAACCAAGTATGTTCTCAGCCATCTAAGAAGTGGCCCATAAACACCCATTTTTTTAAGTTTACCTATTAAAATATTATGGTTGGCCCGATCAAAGGCCTTGGAAAAATCAGTGTATACTGCTTGTACCCTACTGCCCTTCTCCATGGGCTTTCCTCAGGAAGTTCACAAACACTAGTATATTACATTCACTTGATCTGCTATTCCGAAATCCAAATTGTTGGTCTACTAGCTGTTTTTCAGGTGAAGCTTTAAGACAGTCACATACAGAACATTCAAATATCTTTGGTATTACACTAATCATACTAATGGGCCTGTAATTATTCACCAATGAATTATCTCCCGCTTTAAAAATAGCTGTTAAAAAACTATTTTTCCAGCATTCTGGAAATTAACCCTTGTTTAAGGAGAGATTAAAAATGTGAAAAAGAGGTCTGGATAATATAAAACAACAATTCTTAAGAAAACTTGGAGGTAATCCATCAGCACCAGAACCCTTATTCACATCCAGTTCTGATAATTTTAAATAAATATCAGATATAGTTATGTTGAAACCAGTCAAGTTAGTAAGACCAGGTGAAGGTGAATCACATATTTACAATATCTGCTCCATGACTGGATTCAACACCACCACAACTCAACACAGCAGTCAAGGAAGGCTTTCCCTTCTGTGAATTCACAAACGACCAAAATCCCTTCAAATTATTTTCTAGTGATAATTCTGTTAAATAAATATGATTGATGTAGCCTTCAGTTTTTAACAATTTACAGTTGGCCCTCAGCTGAGAATAAGTTCGATAATCCAGAAGTGATTTAGATAAAAGATATTTTTGTGAGCTTTCTTTTCCTCAACTATCAGGTTCTTCAACTCTGGTGAGAACCAAGACGGGAATCTACGTTTTGAATACCTTTTAAGGGGGATAAATAATTCTATAGCTAAGTAAATTATATCATAAAAAATATTCACAATTTGATTCAGTGGTGTTCCTAAAAATAATTTATCCCAACAGAACTGTGATAAAAAATCAGTTATTGTCACATAGTCAGCCGACTTAAACTCCCTATAGAAACCATCACTAACCAAACCACTATTATGGGGCACCTTTTGGTCACCTATATCTCAAATTCCAGTGGTGGGTGGTGCATATCCTCCCTCAAAAGAGTTTCCTCTGTTCTGGACACAGTTACATCAGCATCATCAACCAGCACCAAATCGAGAATATTACCAGTGGAATTCACAATAGTGTTGGACTGAAACAAATTGTGGTATACACACATACCAGACACAACCTGCAGGGCTGCAACTTCAGATGATAGAGGAATTGTTGTAGAGCACATGTCATTTGAAAATCATTCACAGTTTGGTATATTGAGGTCAGCAGCCAGATAATAGTTTGCAGATGGATAAACTTCAGCTATTTGTTCTAAGGTTTCACAAAATATAGGATATGTCTCTTTATTGGCATAGTTACATGTCAATTAAGTCTCGTTGAATATGATAATACTGTAATGAGAATAGGATACATTGATAAATAAACTGTCCAGCTTAGTTTTTAGACCTCCTACATTTTGAAACTAAACCCACACTCCAGGTGAAGACTGTGTTAGTTTTTTGCAATTATTTCAGGAGTGCCATTTAAGATGCTGATGATCTTATAAACCATTTTGATTTATAAGATGCTGATATGTGTCATGAATATCTTGGATGAGAGGATGGTTGGTGGATATAGCATTAATGGAGTGTATAGAGAAAAGGGAATCAGTGCATATTGCTTATGTGTGTATTTGGATATTGCTGGCCATATTTGAAAGCATGTGAGATAGCTCGTAGTTCACCAGTGTGGATACTACACCAAGAAGAAATTCTATAGAGTTCGATAGGCTGTTGTACAGTGGTTACAGAATATCCAACACCACATCCAGTCTTTGATGCGTCAGTGTAAAGAACTATGTTATACTTATTTTTGTTTATAAGATCTAGAAAGAGAATTCTTAATGTATTAACAATGGTATCTTCCTTGCTAAATTTGGCGAGGGAAATATCATGATGTCAGATGTGGGAGTATGTTGGCGTCAATAGGGAATATTGGAGAATGGTAGAGTTCTGGTTTCAGACAAATTTATATCTTTTAATAACTGCTGTAGAAAACTAGGGAAATGATGTATAATTAAGTTACATAACAGGTTGTTATGGGGTTGGTGCGATGATGTAATTAAAGGATATACTATATTGCGGAAGAACTTATGTCAATAATATGCAACTAGCACAACCATTACTTTTCAGAAAGACTAGACAAAGTCTAGTACAAATAAAACAGGCTAAGAAGAAAAATAGTCACAAAAACTAACTGTGTCTGATGAGCTAAATACAAAGCTTACACATATTTGTTTTCATATACTTACAATCCTCTAGTAACCTTTGTAATTCATGCGGCGATACAAATTTTTCATACTGATGGGTTCCTCGTGGTATCTCTCTTACAATATTCTCAGCCATAAAAATTCCAAATAGATTAGCTTGCCACGTTTTATTCAGAGTAGTTATAAAGATTTTACCTTTCGGCTTCAGACACTTTACACACGCTTCAATGAATTCACTTTTTTGTGTGACATGCTCTACGACCTCTGATGCTACGAGCGCATCATACTTTCCACAAGCCTCTCCAGCATGGTTTTCTATTGATGATGTGATATAGTTGATATTTAGATTGTTGAGACGAGCATGCGATTGGGCTAATTTTATTAAGTCTTCGTTGGCATCTAGGCCTGTCACATCAGCTCCTATTTTTGCTAAGGGTTCAGTTAAAATACCACCTACAACAATAAGATGCTAGAATAATACTCTAGATATACAGGAATATTTTATATAAAAAACTTTGTAAATTTTTGAAGTGTTAAAAAATCTGTTGTATCTTCAGAATTTTCATAAATGTATATGCTATATTTTGGAAACTAGAACAACAATAGATAGATACAAAAACTTAAAGAGAGTGGAAAAACGCATACACCGAAAAAAGAAACGAGACTCGGAAAATGACATGTTAGAACGGCTCGAAAGCCATATGAGTCACGGAGAAACAAGAAAGTTCTACCATCAAATAAATAGTATTAGAAAAGAATTTAAACCAAGAATCAACTATTGTAATGATAAGGAAGGCAACTTACTTACCAACAAAGAGGACATCCTTTTACGATGGGTAGAGCACTTTCGAGATTTGCTGGAAGGGGAACCTACTAACAATATAGAGCTGGAATACCGAAATGAGGAACTCGTGGAACCCCCCTCAGTAGATGAAGTAAAAACATCTATAGAAAAACTAAGGAACCATAGGTCCCCAGGTAGCGATGGCATCCCAGCAGAGTTATTTAAGCACGGTGGAGAGCAGCTCACCAAGGTGATGCGAGAAATTGTTTGTAGAATTTGGTCTGAGGAGCAAATGCCAGAAGAATGGAGCTTAGGCTTAATTTGCCCGTTACACAAAAAGGGAAACCAACTGGAATGCAATAATTACCGCGGAATAACTCTCCTAAATACAGCATACAAGATATTATCAAATATTTTGCACGAGAGATTAAAGCCTTATACTGAAATGTTTCTAGGGGAATATCAGGCAGGATTCAGGTCTGGACGTTCAACCATTAACCAGATCTTTACACTACGATAGATCCTCGAAAAAGCGCAAGAGTTTAACATAGATATGTATCATATTTTTGTCGATTTTAAAGCGGCATATGACAGTGTCTTAAGACCAAGTCTTTACAACACTATGAATGAGTTAGGAATTCCAAAAAAACTCATACGTTTGATAAAAGTGACAATGGCGAAGATGCTATCAGCAGTAAAAATTCAAAACGACTCGTCAACCCCATTTCAAATACATAGGGGGTTAAGGCAGGGAGATGCGCTGGCGTGTCAGCTTTTTAATGTCGCCTTAGAAAAAGTTGTACGAGACGCTAATTTAGATAGCAGGGGAACAATATTTAATAGATCAGTCCAAATTCTAGCATATGCAGACGACGTGGACATTATAACAAGAACTAGGGCGAGAACTGCGGAAATCCTAACCGAGCTAGTAGCAGCAGCAGAACGAATGGGGTTACATATAAATCAAAATAAAACCAAATTCATGGCGACTAACACAAACACAAAAGCTGGAAATGTTGACACAAATTTAATCATCAATGACCAAAACTTCGAAGCAGTCAATGAATTCATATATCTAGGGACATCGGTTAACCCCAATAATAATACATCTGAGGAAATAAAAAGGCGAATAATAATTGCAAACAGGTGTTATTATGGTCTATCAAAGTACTTAGCTAACAAACGTCTGTCTCAAAAAACTCGTATAAGGCTGTATAGAACACTGATAGTCCCCGTTCTTACATACGGATCAGAGGCATGGACGCTAACGAAAACAGATGAATCCGCTCTATCCATGTTTGAAAGAAAGGTGCTACGCAATATATTTGGAGCGGTCTGCGAGAACGGAATATGGAGGCGTAGATATAACTTCGAACTGCAGAATATCTACAAGCATACGTTTGGTGGTAAAGATATTACCACTATAATTAAGCGAAACCGCCTGCAGTGGGCAGGACATGTAGCCCGGGCCCCTGAATCGAACATGATAAAAAAGATTCTAACAGCGCAACCTGTGGGAATAAGACGACGGGGTAGACCAAAGCTGAGGTGGATGGATAGGGTAACACAAGATGCGGAGAAGATCGGATTCGGCAACTGGAAAATTCAAGCAAGGGACAGAACAGAATGGCGTAGAAAGCTTGGGAAGGTCGAGGCCCTCTAAGGGCTGTAGCACCAAGATGATGATGATGATATTTTGGAGACCACTCATAGTTCCTGAGTGAATACATGGAGTATTTAGAGAACTAACAGCATTATTCTTAACTTTATGGAAAAATATACTAAAAAAATGTTACCTCCACAACCTACATCTAAAACTGAATAGCCCTTTAATGGCAAAGTAGGATCAGCAACTCTTTTTCCATTAATAAGCGAATCTCTAATCCAAGGTATTCGAATTTTATTCATAGCATGTAGTGGTTTTACTTCTCCAAATTCATCCCACCAATAGTTAACATATTTTTTAAAATGTGCCATTTCTTGAGTATCAACTGTCGTTGAAAGGAGCCTAAAAAAACCAGATAATCATTATAATAACACTTATTATCAAAAATAAAACCATTCACAGGGTTTAATTTGTTTTTTTTTGGCTCTTCAAAATTCTTATTATTAAAATTAGGTAAGGGAGAGAAACATACAAAATGGCACAGTAACATTACTTAAAAATAATAAAATATTTAGAAGAAATCCAGAAGAGTAAGAGTAAATAAGTGGTTTAGATTGTGTGGATTAGAGGAATCCATTCAAACAACCATTCAGACATATTAAACAAATTTTTACCAACAATTGGATAAAATTCACTAAATACTTAACAGAAGTTTCAGTCAATCACTTTCTATATAATCAAAGATGAAGCATAAGTAATGGAAAACATTGGCATATTTTTGAAACATATTAATGTATGGAATCAGCTATTTTATTAAGTACTAGTTACTAGTATTTCTCCCAGTGTATTTAAAATACATATTAAAAAAATCAAATCAAAAATGTAAAACAGAATTGAGTTTGTCCTAGAAGTTACCTTCCATGCTCTAATCACACATAAACTTGCCCTAAGATATTATTTCTTCATGTAATACAGTCACTATACTTATACTTATATACCAGAGGTATGTACTTGTATTGCATGTATATCACAAGAGTAATCAATGAACTGAAAATATGTCTGCTTACCTTATTTGGTTCCCACTTCTTAATATTTTCTGCATTATGTATTCTAATCTAAAAAAAAATATGTACTGAATATAAATCATTGCAAGCAAAACAATAATTGTACAAATTAATAAATCAAATAAACTCTGTACTCAAATTAGTACCAACTGTAATATATTTAGCATTAGTCACATTTTGACTTTAAAAATCATTCCACATGCAGTTTATTCACAAAATAAAACTGCACCAATGAAAATAAAGTATTTAAAATTAAAAATAAATAAAAAATATATTATAATAAAAAATTAATGAATATATACCTCCATTATTTCTGATTATTCTTCTTTTTGCAATTTAAAAAATTTGCAACAGTAAGTTTAACAACTATACTTAAAAGATTTACAGCAAAAAATCCTAACTTTTTAAAAACATATGGTTCCCTAAAGTAAATTGAAACCAAGATAACTTAATTGGTCTGCTTTGAATTACAGTTATGTATTATAGGTAACAAATTCCATGGTAAACTGGCACAAGGGACACAAAAACTGCACTGGCCACTTTGCATAATCAGAAACAATAAGTTCATAGAAAAATAATTGGTAGAGTAAAAAATATGTCTTGTATACTTAGAATAAGAATGAATTCACAGGATACTTCTATTATGAAATTACCCAACTACAGCAGTGTTATTCTCCGTAATCTCAGGAATCTTGAACCTGGCAGGAAGCAACAATTGTTTCTTTGAATTGATTGATTCAACAATTGATTCTCTACATAATCGCAGATATCCTAAGCTTCTTAAAACGAAACTAGATTGAAACTAAGTTACTAGAAACAGGGTTCACAACAGATTTCGTCCTTGTATGCCCTTAAAAACATTTTTACAATGTGTACATAAACTACTGAAGTAAAACTATACCTTATTACAAAGAATATAGACGCTTATATATTCGCTTATATATTAGCCTCTATATTCTTTGCTTATTATATTATATTAAAAAGTCAATCAAAAAAGTAAAATAGGTCTCCTTTATATTTAAACAAGACTGTCATAATTATAGATTCAAAGAATCTAAAATGATTTCGCCGTTTCTAAATATAAATATTGCAATAATTTGAATAGAAAATACCTTTATATTTGTTTTTCTGAAACTTTTTGAAAACAAACAAAATATCAACATAACCTACAACTACAACTATCAATGTCATTGGGTGGGATAAAAATATTTTATAACCCTTTGCCTTTGCATGATAATACAGCCACCTAAAAATAACTACAAGTGCAGAATAACCTTATTATACTTTAATGGTAAGGAATAAGTGTTTTCTAAAAAAAAAAAAAGCAGACTGTTACTCTGATAATTATTTATTATTATTTAGATTTAGATATTGGTTCTTCACTGCCTGGGACCAAATATTTAACATGTTTTTTTTAGAACCTGCTTTTTAAATGTTTATTATTGCATTTTAAACAACACTTTTTTTTCAACTTTGTTTTTGTGATTTTTTTTAGTGCCCACCGGTGGTCACACGGTCCCATGTTGTAATTTTACATTGTGGCCACTGTGGGACCAAATGTGCACTAATAGTTATAAACAGAACAACATGTTAACACGAAACACTGTGTAGAAATAAAACTAAGCATCCGGTCCTGGACATTATACCTAGTTGAAATACGAATTGATAAAGCAATCTTTTAATTTTTAACACATGTATTTCAACGGTTTTTAAATAACAAGACAGCAATATAGTTTGTTAATATGATGGATTAGACAGTACAAAAGACAACACAAAAAGTAATGGGCTACATTTTATTTTTAAAAAGTGTATACAATGCATTTATTACTATCTTATTTTTTATTTATTCTATTAGTCGGTTCTAGTGAAGCGATCCTTTATCTTCGGGATACAAAAAGTAAATGTCCACATTTCCCTTTTTCATTCTAACCGTTTCCGTATGACGAATTAAAAATATTGCTGAAACACCATACGCGAGGCAGGGGATACCTAAAAAGATTGTTTTCAAACATATTTAAATAAAACCAATTTTCTTGACGACTTACCTAAATTTAATACCTTTATTGCCTTGAAGAATATATCATCAAATTTAAGATCTTGAGGATCTCTTTTCGTGCAATGGTACTTAATATACGGGAAACAGCCAGTTCTGAGTATGTGGTAATTTGATTTTCCTACTTTCCAGTTGAAATGAGATTTGCCCCACTGATCGTCAGTTATGCTAGAATACTAAAATCCAAAATAAAAGTATATTTTTAAAAAGAGAATCACCTAATGTACATGTATGCTGTTAATATAAGATAGTTAAGCCAGGATCTCCCGCAAAGACCATCTACTCCATTGGTGTAAATGATCTTTGATCTCCCGGCTGTTGGACTTCCAGTCCACGCCCCAACACGGTTGGCGCGTTGAAATGTGTGGGTCATTTTCATGGAGCGTCGAGTGGAGTATTGAGGATTTAGTTTAGTTTTTTTTTTTAATTACTGCCAAGTGAGTGTCAAGTAGCAATAGCAATGTATGGGAATCCGAATCTAGCGTGGACGAAGCCATGATACCATATTATGGGCGTCATGGTATGAAACAACACATAAAAGGCAAGCTCATAGGCTTTGGGTATAAATCGTAATGTTGGAATCAGAAATCTGGTTACCTCATAGATTTCAATATTTATCAAGGAGCCAAAGAAAAACCCAATGAATACAAAAAAGAATTTGGCCTTGGAACTGCAATAATATTGCAGTTTGCTCAACTTATTCCTAAAATACAATGCGATAGGATTATGCCTCATTGCCTATATGCTGATAATTATTTCACCCTATAAAACTAATTGATTTTTTAACATCGAAGGGAATAGGTTACGAAAGAACCATACGATCAAATAGAATAGAAAAGTGTCCATTCAGTGAAACGTTTAAAAAATCCATAAGTGCAATTTACGAAAATTGGTACGACGAGAAAAATAAGGTGCTGTTATGTAGGTGGAATGACAACAGCATAGTTACTTTGGCATCGAATTACCATAAAACGACGCCAGTTTATCAAGCGAAAAGATACATCGAAATATAGACAAAGTCTTGTTGACGATGTTCTGAACTCCTCCAAGAAGATCTGGTCCATCTCAATCTTCCATATACAACATTACACAAGATGTTCGATTCGATAACATCGGCCATCTTATTTCTACCCAAGAAAAACGAACCCGATGCGTCCTTTGTCACTCAACAACCAATAAAAAATGTATTAAATGTAAGGTTGCATTACATGAAAAAAATATTATTAAATTTCATAGCAATACGCAATAATTTTTTTATATTACTTTTATGTCAGTTTATTTAAAACTCTTTTATATGATTTAATAAAATATTCCAAACAACAAAGTATTATTAAATTTTTTTTACATCCTAACTGCCATGTGTTGCGTTTTCGCAACAGTCAATTGTCAAAAAAGAAGTTTTTCATTTTTTAAACATATATTTTTGTTAATTTTGTGACATTTAGAACATAAATTTTTCAGAAATTAAAAAAAATTAGCATAAATAGTTCTGGGCATTAATGGGTTTTAAAATAAAATTGTAGGTACTGTGAAAAAAGATATTCGCGAAATAAGAAGAGATAGGCTCGGAAAATTCCATAGGAACTAAACTTTAGATGGGAAAAACATAAAAAAAAATTAATCTACTAATTGTTAATGCCTTTGTAATTCTTGCATTCTTCCTTATTGCCTTTTTGTGTATGGAGCATATTTCACCTTTCTTTCCAAGTTTGTGGTACTGGTTCTCCCTTAAGGTACCTATTGAATATTTCTGTTGGGATCGAAGCTAGTTTGTCTGTTCCGTGCTCTGTGAACTCTGCAGATCTCTGGACCGGAATTACATCCATTTTTTAATAGAGTTATTATTTTTTTCTGGACAAATCTTCACTGGTTCTCCACGTATCTTTATGCCATTATAGGATATAGTAATATATTCAAATCTTTTATGTTTAAGGACAAACTTATTCTAAGTTTAAAACTCATCGTGAGTCCATTTTGCTCCCTATATTATTTGAATAACTGTCAACATTTTTTATTACTTACTTTAACGAAATACGAAGTCCAGGGTGGTTCTTCGCATTGCTTGATATAATTTGTAAGCACTTCCGAGGATGTAGGTTTATGTTTATTACGAAAATTATAAAATATATTTCTTGTTTGAAGTTTTACGACCATATTACGATTACCTAAAAATAACGTTATAATTATAGCACGTGTTATGGCATGGAAAAAAGTATTAGCTATCTAATTCAAGCGACAAATCTTTATATAGGTACCTACCTATATCGTGTGAAATAAAAATAAAAAAAGATAAAGAACTGCAGACTGCTTTTTCATGAATTATATCATGTGTTAGAAGATTTACAGATTGGTTGACTTTCTTAAAACATCTAGTCCATTAATAGGCGAATCATGTAATAAGAGAACAATAATTTTTAAGAAACGTTAATAAATATTAATAGTTGAAGAATATAATAAGGTGTTACGATGTTTTATTAGAATAATAAGATAATAAATTATATATCTTAATCTTCTTCCTCGACCTTGCAATTCAACACTTGTTTGTCCTAGCTTCCTCTACAACTCTTTGTTTGTAATAGTCTCAGGCCACCAAATATTATGATTATGATTGATCAGAGTTGACAGGCTTACAACAGAACAGACTTAACGTTGGTGATGACAATCTGTGGCTTATCTATGGAGTGGTCTTCCCCAACACGAACTCTGAAGTATCTGTCGGATAGAACATCTTGTTTCCAAATATTTAACTTTCCGCGAATAACATGGTAATACAATTTAGCTAGTAATCGACGTTTTCGAGTACAGTCCAAAGCTTTGGAGAAGTCTAAGTAGACTACATCGACAGGATGCTGATTGTTTAAAGATGATAACCAATCATTTACACGATGAAGTAAGTTTATGATCGTTGAACGACCTTTGATAAAGCCATGCTATTGGTGAGGGATAACATTAGACATAGTTTCCAAAATAATTGATTCCATGACCTTTCCGACAATAGGAACCAGGCTGATTGGACGATAATTATTGCAATCAAGTTTATCTCCTTTCTTGAATATAGAAGTAACCGAAGCCAATTTCCAGGACGAGAGGAGAGAACCTTGATTAAAAGAAGCATTAATTATGAGAGATATAGAGATGGCTAATGATTCTGCACATTGTTTGAGGAAAAAGGAGGTGAGTCCGTCTAATCCAGGAGATGAATTATTGCGCAATTTCCATAAATGATATTTAATTGCATCCGGTGTGAAAGAGATATTATCAAGAGTTTTAGAGAAACATGGACACATTATTTGAGGAATAGTATCGTTAGGTTAATCTTTAAAAATCTGAGAAAAAAAAACCGATAAACATTCCGAAGATTCATCATTCGAGCTTTTTGAAGTAATGGTATGGAGACTTGGGAATATAAAGATGTACCTATGTACCGATAAACTTTTTACTATTACCACTTGCAATGATAGATTCTTCAAATTCTGTTCTTAACTTTAGCAACGATTGTTTGACGCATTTAGAAAAATTACGGTGGGCGAGAAGATCATCAAGGGAACTAGTAGATGTTCGCCAAAGTTTTCGCTTTTGTCGAATTAAATGGGTACCTGAGAAGTTAATAACAAGGTTTTAGTCGATTTCTGTATAGCTGCCGTTCGATTGTAAGATCAGAAATTGTTGTAATAGTAGTAGGTATGAAGAAAAGAGTCCAACATTGACGATGGATCAGAGTGATTAAGAAAAATAGATTGCCAGTTTAACTGGGATAAAACTAAATTTTCATTGAGATGACACTTCAAGTGTAGAACTTAATTGAACATCATTTGTGAAAGATAAATCTAAAATTAACGGATTATTATTATTGGCTCTAAACCTTGTAGGTTCAGTTATCAGTTGTAATAAATTTGAGTTCATGATAAAGTTTTTAAACCAATTTTGGGGATTGATAGTATCAGCTTTGGAAATAATTGGCCAGGTAATCTCTGGAAAATTAAAATCTCCCATAACAACAATGAGATTTACAAGGGATGATAATTCCTTAAGTTTGCAATAAGCCAATAAGCATAATTGTCCTGAGTAAGTAGGTACTGTATCCAGAGGTCGGTATATGCAAACTATATTAAATAGGAAAGTATACGCAATACGTCTTATTTTATTCTTTGTAATCTCTCAAATAAAACCTGTTCTGGTGTGTTCTACATAATACCTCAATTTCCATCATATATTGTGGTAATAATTAAAATTAAAAAGAGGAGATGAGCTAAGACTATAAATTTTTGACAATACTTCACTAAATAATTGTTCTGCTGTTTCATATATTAAGGGTATACAGTTTTGATCATAATTAAATATGCATCCATTTACACGATTTAAAATTTACAAAAAAAGGTACAATCTTTTTAAATTTCAAGGTCGTACCCAACCATGACGTCACAGTACTGACGTTGGAAAAGAATGTTGAATGGATTGGCAACAGTGCTTTTTACAAGAATTGGAATGAACTGCTCAAGAAATGGCATTTATTTTATAAATAAAAGGAATAAGTGTCAAAACACGGGCGCTCCCAGGAGTACTGTAACTTTCCTTTATTAAAAAAATTAAAATATAATTAGTGACGAAAGAACTAGAAATCTGTTATAGATTTTAAAATATATTTTAACGCGAAGAATGATTTGCTGAAGACAATATTAACAAAGTGAAGGTGAACAATGTGAAATTAAGATTTTGAAAGTGTTTGTATTGATGTTAACGCTGACAATATTTGTACCAATAATTTTGTGTTAATATGTATTTCATTAAAAACTTGGTTTTCAATTGATATTTTTAAGAAAACAAGTGAGTCTGATAAAATGGGACATTGTATATAGAACATGGATAAACATTTAGAGCAAGATCTTTTAATTCCTGTTTCTTCAGGTGAGTACCATGCAACTTTTACATAGCATTTAACGATAAAAAAGGGATTTTCTTACCTTATTTACCAAGTTATCCAATAATCAACTAGGAATACTAGGATGGTACCACAACATGTCATCTAGAAATTGATGAGGTTAGAATTTTTTGGACTGCTTCTATTTCTTTATTTGTTTACCAAAAATAAAGCTATTTTTACTTTGTTTTCATTGTGATTAATTGACTAACAGAATAAAATAAAAACATATTCTAATATTCATAATCTGTAATCTGTAACAAATGTCAAATTATTTCAACACCCATTAGTACAGGGCTGCAGTAAATTCTCTTTTAAATTAGAATCATCCGGTTTATATATAATTATAATATTCATAATTAGTACCAAGATTACTGCATTAGTGCATTATCCTTCTCATAATCACAATTAACATGTTTTTAATCAATTATGATTAGAACTAACCTTTAGCATTCTCTGCTTTTACTGTAAGATCCATTTGATGCATATAAGATGCATTTTTCCTCAGTTTCTTTAACTTGTCTTAAATTTTCATTAATTTTGTTATGTTTTCATGCTTCATTATTGCTGCATTTCTTGACTCATTACTTTACAATCCGTTTAGATCCTTTTTCACTTAATTCTACATTTGTTTTCTTATATTATAACTTTTACTGTCTTGGATTGGTCTCTATAAGTAGTTATCTATTTATTATTATATATGTTTGTATTCTTGTCATTATATGTATGTTCTGTTCATTTTAACATCTAGGATTTAACTTAATATGTAATGCTAAATTTTCTTTGCTTGTTAATTTTCTATATGTCTGGTTTCTTGACATTGTTTTTTTTAATCTAGAATGTTACCAGATCCACACTGTTCGCATAATCTTCCTTTTCAATATTTCTTTTTAGCTTTCTCCTTTTGTATTGTTGTTGCTTCAATGTTTTATATAAATATGTGTTTTATATATTCTGGCTTCTTTTATAGAGTGTAGTTTTTTAATTTTATATATTTGATTTTTCTCCTGAGCTCTTTCACAATATTATTTCGTGATTTCTTTCTGAAATCATGCTCTATATTTTCTCTATTGTAGAGTATATGAAAGTTTTTGCTTCTAAAAACTTAGTGTTGTTCATTCTTTTAATGTTGTTTTTTAATAATTTGGTATTATTTTAACACTCTTTTTTTGTATATTTTACCCATTAGATGCTACAATTTCTTCTTTTTCTACACTAGCATTATAATTCCCTAATCTTCGGCAATGTATTATTAGAAAGACTTAACCATTTTACAAAGGATATTGTTGGTCAATATCAATGAGGATTTACTACTGGAAAGTCAACTACACATTAAATTCAAGCACATAGGCAGATTCTAGAAAAGTCACTAGAATATAACATAGATACACACCATCTCTTCATTGACTTCAAAGCAACCTATGACAGTGTGAAAAGAACTGCATTATACAATAGACTTTTTTTGCAAAAAGTAAGCGCATGCATTAGAATTGAAGGAGAAAACTCTATGTTCTTTGACATTAACAATGGTCTGACAGTGGGGTGCGTTGGCGTGTCTGCTATTTAATACTGCCTTGGACAAGGCAATCAGACAATTAAATATTAGAATGAATGGAACTATTTTTAATAGATCAACACAAATTCTCGCATTCGCTGACGATATAGTTATAGTAGGCAGAAGTATGAGAGACATGGTGCAGTGTTTTACAAGGCTTGCAGACGCAGCAAGTGAATTAGGACTTGTGGTAAACGAGGAAAAACCAAATATATGTTGGTTTCTAAAAACCCTCGAAATATCCAACAGAGAATTCAAATTAGCAAGCATACCTTTGATCAAGTCAAACAATTTACATATCTTGGATCGCTAGTAAACGCAACAAACACACAAGCGACGAAATAAAAAGATGCATAGTAATAGCAAACAGAACTGTTCATGGTCTCCAGAAACATTTAAAAAATAAAAATATAAAACCTGCAGTAAAGCTTAAAATATACAAGACCTTAATAAGACCGGTTTTTCTTTTTGAGCAAGCCAAGATCCTCAACAAATTGTTGAGCCACTTATGATGATGAATTAAAAATTTTAAAACAAACAAAAATATATGTACAACAAATTGACAGATCCACAAGGAATCTACGTTCCTGTAGTTGGCTGTATACCATATATTAAAAAATTTATTAAAAATCCTTTGTAAAAGGTATATATTTAGAACCCAAACGGGCTAAGTTAAAAAGACAAAATGTTTGCGGAATCCATATTCCATCATCAGTGTCTAAGAGTACATGAAGGTAGCCACTAAATATATGGGTGAAAACCCGTTAACAAATAATTAATTACATTTAGTTTACAAATTTCCTTATAATGGTTTAAGATGTTAAAGTTACCGTTGGATTAGGTAACATGGCGACATATGACTCCACGTTGAAGTTGCTAGTCTTGAGACAGTGTGTCTACGAAGACTATATGGGAGCAACTGAACAAATTGACAGATATTCAGATTTTCGAATTTTAAAAGAAAAATTTGCAGTAAAGAAGTGAAAGAAAATAACTGATCGAAAATCACAACAGTACAGTATATAATAAATTATTTTTTTTGTCAAATAAGAAAAGCTGAAACGTAATGACTTATTCTTTTTAAAGCATGGGAGAAAATTAAAAACAACATTGAAGAAGCAGCAACAGAAGCTCTAGGAAAACACAAAGTCATACTGAATAAAGAAACCACAACAATACACCATGGACAAATATATAAGAATACGAAATGAAACAAAGCAGTTGGTAAGAACAGTTGGAACAGTTTACAAAAAGGATGGAAAGCAACTTCTGCGGTACACAAAAACAAATATGGAGATTTATAAGAAACCAATGGAAAGAAATGGCAGAATTGAAGGAATACAATAACATATCAGCAAACGAATGGGAAAGATACCTGACAGAACTGTTTAAAGCAAAGGAAAATAATAATCAACACAACAACATACCTGAATTAAGACACGAAATAGAAATAAGTTTTAAGGAAGTAGAAATAGCCATAAATTCACTCAAAAATAGAAAGTCCCCAGGACCAGACGGAATAACCAATGAGCTTCTAAAACACGGAGGAGAAAGTATCACTCCAGAGATGACAAAACTTATACAAAAACTAATATTGCTCTGCAAGATACCAGACGCATGGAGAAACAGCATAATGTTACCAATGTTCAAGAAAGGAGATAAAAAAGACCCCAACATTTATAGAGGTATAAATCTAGTGAACACCGCACTTAAGTTTACCACAAAAGTCCTAACCAACAAAATCAATAAACTAACAACTTAATCAGATGAACAACAAGGCATCAAGTACAATAAACCAGCATATCTATGTTTTATAGACCTGACAAAGGCTTTCGATCGCATCCAAGTCAAAGACGTCTTACACCTACTATATAAAAGAAACACACCAATCAATATTATACAAACCATCGAAAACATCTACCTCCATAATCGAATACAGGCAAAGATAAATGGAAAACTAGCACAGTGTATACCAATTCAAAGCAGAGTAGGTGACTCACTAAGCCCACTTCTCTTTAATATAATAATGGACGAAATAATACAAGCAGTACGTAAAGTTCATGGCTATAGAATGGGGAACAAAGAAATCCAAATATTATGTTACGCAGACGATGCCGCATTAATCGCCGAGACAGAAGACGAGCTCCAAAGATTAACACATATCTTCAATACAACAGCTAAGAAGCACAATATGATAATATCAGCAGAAAAAAACAAATGTATGACAACATCTAAATACCCACCACGGTGTAAAATCGCAATTGATGGGAAAATAATAAAGCAGGAAGCAAGGTTTAGATATCTGGGAATAGATATAACTAGTTACAGAGATGTTGAAGAAGAAGTACGACAACAAAGCTTAAAAGTAAAGCGGCGGGATCTTTTAATGACACAATCTAGAAGACAAGACACAAAAACAAGAATCTATAAAGCAACAATTAAACCTATATTAACATAGGAGACAAGACCTGACACATCTAAAACGAAACGACTACTAGAAACAACAGAGATGAAAATACTCCGACGAATATCAGGGAAAAGTCTGTTGGACAGGGAGAGAAGCGAAAACATAAGAGCAGTCAATATAGAAGAAATAAATGGATGGGTGACAAAACGAAAACAGGAGTGAAACCAACACATCAGTAGAATGGCAGAGGATAGAATAGTATGAATAGCACAAGATAAGTTACTGAATGGACGAAGAAGTATTAGCAGACCAAGAAAAAGATGGTGCGACAATTTAAACAATTTAGGAGGCTAATATTGAAGAAGAAACAGGTTTTAAAGCCTACATGCAAGAAGAAGAAGAAGAATTAAAAATATTTGCGACCACTTTGTGACTGGCAATCTATTATCAATGTATTCTCCTAATTATAAATGTATGTAAAAATGTGAGTTTGATTAACTGCGTTATAAACGTAGTGATTTTCTACGAAAATATCGTAGAAGAGCAATCAAAGGAAACGAAAGCATTGACGAAGAAAAACTACGAAAAATAAATAAAGAAGTATCACAAACTATAAGACAAGATTTAAGACAATTTAAGAATGAAAAGGTCCACTGTACTATAGGAGAAATTAAAAGTCTGAAAGTCCTGAGAAGACGGCTAAACAATGGCAAATGTGAAATACACAAACTAAATAACAAAGAGGGAGTCCCCATATCAAATAGAAAAGAACTACTACACATAGTTGAAGACTTCTATCAAGAAGAAGTCAAAGAAAAGACCAAACGAACTTGGAAGCCGCCGCATCACGCCAAATCACCAACCAGAGTTCAGAGCTCATGCCAAAGATCAAAACAACAAAGCACCAGGGGAAGATGGAGTCGTAATAGAAGCTATAAAGATAGGCGGACGTGCCCGTCCAACCAAATTCTCAACCAAATAAAAATTTTGTTTAACCTTTCTCTAACAGATTGTTGCATACCGGAAACATGGAACAATGCAGTAGCAATTTTACTACACAAGAAAGGAGACAAGGCGCACCTAGAAAACTATAGACCAATCAGCTTATTGAACCACATCTATAAAATGTTTACCCGAATAATTACAAGACTAGAAAAAAAGTTGGATTTCCATAGGGAGAAAAGCCTACATGTGTGCTACCCCTACAGTTAGGTGCCTAACCACAGTCAATAAAAACAGAGGGTGTCTCATTACCCAGGGCACCTTAAGTAATTTTCAGATCATACACCTCCTCACGTAAGTCACACGATGAGGAGGGTTGAATGAAAAGCCTGGGGGTCAGATAGGTACCACTTCAACTAGTGAAGTGTGATCGGTTTGATCTTCGGACGTGTGGATCCCACTCTTACAATGATATCCACATCTTCCTTAGGGACAGGGTTGATCACTGCGTGTGTGTGTGTTGGATTTCTACCAGCTCCAAGAACAAGCTGGCTTCCGCTCAAAATTCGGAACA